TTTTTTTGAGACAGAGTCTCACTTTTGTTGCCCTGGCTAGAGTGAGTGCCGTGGTGTCAGCCTAGCTCACAGCAACCTCAAACTCCGCCTGGGCTCAAGCGATCCTCCTGCCTCAGCCTCCCAAGTAGCTGGAACTACAGGCATGCACCACCATGCCCGGCTAATTTTTTGTGTATATATTTTTAGTTGGTCAATTAATTTCTTTCTATTTTTAGTAGAGACAGGGTCTTGCTCAGGCTGGTTTCGAACTCCCGACCTCGAGCAAGCCGCCCACCTCGGCCTCCAAGAGTGCTAGGATTACAGGCGTGAGCCACCGCGCCTGGCCTTGTTCATACATTTTGTTTGCTTTTTCCACTGGAGCCTTTAATATTAGTCATAGTTATTTTAAGTTTCTTGTCTGATAGTTCAAACATCTGGGTCATCTCTGAGTCTATTTCTGTTGACTGCTTTGTCCCTTGTGTTGATTTTTTTCTTCTTTTGTGTGTATGTATTTCATACTTTTTGGTGGAATATTAGACATCATCATCAGACAGTAAAAACAGAGAGAGGTATGTATTTATGTCTGAAAATGGGCATGCTGCTTCTGCCATACTTTAAGTCAGTTGAGTTAGGATTTAAGCTTACCTTGAATTTTGGTTTTGCTTTGGTTACCTTTAATGCATCACCAGCCTGTAGTGTTAACATGTGCTTAGGGTGGAAGCTGTTTCCAGACGGTTTCTTAAGAGAGTTCCTGTTCTACCCTCAGCTTTTATTTGGCCTTCCCTGTATTTCTGTGCCTCAGAGGGACTCTCTCTCCATACTCTTGCCTTCTCCCAGTGGTAGATTCCTAGTGTTTTCTACTTGGTGCTTGTTAGTTTCAAAGAGGAGAGGTTGGAAGGGCATTCTCTGTTTTCCTGGTCCAGCCTTAGTTTCAGGCAGTCCCAGTGGCCCTGGGTCTTGGAGCTGGGCTTTCTCAGTGATATTGCCCTTCCCATAGGGGTAGAGGATTTTTTTCTTTTACCCTTTTACCATCCCAAATGGGTCCTAACCTGTGCATTGGGAGAGACAGAATTTTCTTGCCTACTCCTAGTTGCTTGAGGCTTTTGTTCTGTAGGGGAGGATCCAGGCTGGGCTTATGCTTTTTTAGCCATGTTGATGGTTTCCTTCCTCCTGGCTTGCATCACTGAGGGAGGCTCTTTCCAGCCTCCTGCTCTGTACCCAGTCTCTGTCAGGAGCACAGCCAGTGGAGGTTTGTTCAGAAGAACCTGTGAGTGGGTGCAAACTCCCATTTGTGTGGGTAGTTTTATAATCCTCTACTAGGCCACACTTGGCTTTTAATAGTTCATTAAAAATTCTAGCTGAGAGCCAGGCATAGTGGCATGTGCCTGTAGTCTCAGCTACTCAGGAGGCTGAGGAGGGAGGATCGCCTGAGCCCAGGAGTTCGAATCCAGCCTGGGCAATATAGTGAGACCCTGTCTCTAATAATAAAATTTTTTTTAAAAATTTAAAAAAACCTTGCCCGGGTAATAAAATTTTTTTTTTTTTTTTTCTTTTTGAGACAGAGTCTCGCTTTCTTGCCCAGGCTAGAGTGAGTGCCGTGGCGTCAGCCTAGCTCACAGCAACCTCAAACTCCTGGGCTCAAGCGATCCTCCTGCCTCAGCCTCCCGAGTAGCTGGGACTACAGGCATGCGCCACCATGCCCGGCTGTTTTTTTTTTTATATTTGTTGGTTGGTTAATTTCTTTCTATTTTTATGGTAGAGACGGGGTCTCGCTCAGGCTGGTTTTGAACTCCTGACCTTGAGCAATCCGCCCGCCTCAGCCTCCCAGAGTGCTAGGATTACAGGCGTGAGCCACCTCGCCCGGCCTTAATAATAAAATTTTTTTTAAAAATTTCATTGAATTTTTCTTTCTCATTTGTATGATATGGTGTCCCTTCTTTCTGTGCCCTGTCATAGGTGAGCAAGTGCCCATGTCTACTTGCTCTTTTGAAGGGCCTTGCTTTCCTTAGGTTTCATTCTATTTGGTTGCCTTGTGACCTCAGCTCTCTGATAACTTTAAGAATAAAGTCATGATATTTGTAGTCTGTCTGGCTTGTTCTTGCTGTTAAGGTGAATGTGGTATTCTTTCCAACTTTCTGCAGTCTAGGAGGAAGCCAGAATCTCTTTGATCTTATTTTGATCATCACAAAAAATAGAATACTCACTAGATGCCAGAGTCTGTGCTAAGTAAAGGGGAATCTGACTTGGTTTTGAGGAATTCTCTCTATTGGCATTGTTTTTAGTCTTGATTGAAGAGTAATTCCAGAGCACATTGCCTAGGCTTTGCCAGTGGGAGGCTTTGCTTGTAATTGCCATCTTAAGTGAGCATCTCAAAGGTGGAGAGAAAGGGCAGGGAAGAGCAGCGCATTGCCGGGCTCCCCACCACCGACCGAGTCTCGTGTTCTCATTTCTTCAAACTCAGCGCCTCTGTTACCTATCCACTGAAATCTGGTTGTCCAAGTTCATGTCATTTCTGTGTGCCTCTTATATCCTTCCCACAAATTTCTTTTTGCTTAAGTTAACGTATTAGTTTCTGTCATTTACAACCAAGGACCTCTAACTGATAAGGAGAATAGAGCTCTTGTCTCAGGAAATTTATAGATTAGAAGGAAAACACAATACCTGGAAAACACATGAAATGCCAAATGCAAAGCAAAATAGTACAGCCCAGGATTGTGCAGGCCAAGGGTCAGCAAACTTATTTATAAAGGTCCAGATAAGGCCGGGCACGGTGGCTCATGCCTGTAATCCTAGCACTCTGGGAGGCCGAGGCGGGCGGATTGCTCGAGGTCAGGAGTTCGAAACCAGCCTGAGCAAGAGCGAGACCCCGTCTCTACTATAAATAGAAACAAATTAATTGGCCAACTAATATATATAGAAAAAATTAGCCGGGCATGGTGGCGCATGCCTGTAGTCCCAGCTACTCGGGAGGCTGAGGCCGGAGCATCGCTTGAGCCCAGGAGTTTGAGGTTGCTGTGAGCTAGGCTGATGCCATGGCACTCACTCTAGCCTGGGCAACAAAGCGAGAGACTCTGTCTCAAAAAAAAAAAAAAAAAAAGGTCCAGATAGTAAATATTTTAGTCTCATAGCCAGCCATATAATCTCTCGTCACTACCCAATTCTGCCATCATAACACAGCAGCCATGGGTAATATGTAAACCATTGAGAGGCTGTTCCAATAAGACCACTTACAAATGCAGGCTGACAGTTTGCCATCCCCTGCTACAGGCTTATCATGTATACTTAAAAGAAAGATGGAGATGGAGTCGGTCTATGTGTCTTCCTACCTGTGGTTCTCGGCCAAGGCCAGAGTTTCAGGTTTTATGTTCCTTATACCTGAGCATTGACTGACTGTGGCATAATTCTTTCTGCCCACTCTTCTCTTGCAGAAGCAAAACCAGCCCCAGAAATATTTGAAAATGAAGTCTTGGCCCTGCTGAGAGACTTTGCTAAAAACAAAAACAAAGAGCAGAGACTGCGTGCCCCAGATCTTGAATACCTCTTTGAAAAGTCACGTTGAGCTGTGCACCGCTGCCTTGCTGCCTTGCTCGGGGGCTCAGTCGTGGATCGTAACTGCTTATGATAGACACTAGCGTTGGCTTTCTGCTTCTCTTTAGACACTCAGGTCTCCCCAGCCCCAGACTGTGGGTCCTGCCTCAAGTGTTGGACATACATACTTCTCTTCCAAGACATACATGTAAATGTGCAGTGTGGCTCACTCTCGCCGTTTTTGTTCAGTTGAAAGTCGTTTGTGAGTGTTGCCGGCTCACAGCCCCGGCTGCTTTGTCTGGCTGCTACCGCTGGAGACAGGTCTGCCGCGAGAGGGCACTGTAGGGGAAGCGATTGTGCTCGCTCATTGCTGCAGCTCATGGCTTCAGCCTGAAGTGTGCTCAAAGAAGAGAGGCAGCCTGCTGTGTGTGCTGTATGCAAAGCCACTCTCCCTCCCCACCTTCCCACCCCCAGTGGCCCAGGGCTTTGTTAAAGCCCTTCCCACTGATAGGTTCTTTCTGCCAAGGGAAGCTGATCCCAGCCCCCTGAGCTGCTTCCTTCAAAGGCACGGCAGGCAGGATGAGGGGAGGCAGGAGTGGTGTGGGCATGCTGCTTAAGTCAACATCTTTGTCATCAGATTTTCTTTGAAATGTGATCTTTGTAAATTGAAAGATAATTGAATATTAAAGAATATTGAAAAAGGAAATTTACAATTCCTTGTCACCGTTATTTAATTTTGTCTATTCTTGTATAACCCCTAGTCCTGTGTTGATAGGGTTTTACAAGGCCACAATCATGGGTTTTCTTTCCATGTAGCACTGTAGCAAACGTTTTCCCTCATTTTGACAGTCCTTACAATTTTAATCAACTAAATAATAATACATAAGCAATAATATGTTAGGATGAATTCGTTGTATGTGTTTAGCTCTAGGGCTGGGAGAGTTCTCTGAAGGCAGGCCAGAAGTGACAAGGTAATTGGTGATCACAAGAGCTGCACCCAGGGAGGAAGGACATATGTCCAGGGTTCTCACCCACCCCTCAGCGTCCCTGGCTAAGGGAGGAGAACTAGCCTTTACTCAAATAATCGCAGTGAAGCCTCACAGCACTCCTACAGACAAGTGGTGTTATACCTGTTTTATAGATAAAGAAAGGGAGCTCAGAGAGAGTAGTAAGTGACTTAAGTATCCACGGTCAAGTAGCTATTTAGCAAAAAAGCCAAAATTTAGCATAGCTCAGTCTGCTTCCAAAACTCCTGAATTTTCTATTAAAGCACAGTACTGCTGGAAATTTAGTAGAAACCTATTCTGGGAAAAGTTACGGCAAAGAAACTTGACAGTTCTGAGATATGATCTGTGTGTCATATATTGTGGGTAGGAATCTGCAGGGTGCTTCCCAAGTGAGTAGATCTGAACTTGGCCAACGGGTGAAGCTGTTACAAGTGAGAAAGCAGTGCCGGGCACTGGTTGCAAGTTCAAACCCTGGCTCTGCTGCTTGCCTGCTGGATATGCGAACTGACCTGAGCCTGCTTTCCTCATCTGTAAAATGGGGATGATAATACTTCCTATCTCAACTGGTTGATAAGATGAGATAAAACACACAAAGCTCTTACGTGGTACCAAGCACACATTACCAACTCAGTGGATATGAATGTCAGCATTGGGTTGTGGCCACAGCCTGAGACTTAAAACCTGTCCCTAACGCAGTTTGTCTGGCATGTCAGTGAGGTCGCCATAGCTACATGCAGGGCGGTCTCGTGCAGGTCGGAATGCTGAGCCTGTTAAAGTAACCATGGAGTGTCTTACCAGCTGGTGAGGACGAGACCTTTGATGGAAAAATCTAGCACTCTGCCCTGAGCAGGGTATGGGATTGAGACTCAGGAGGCAGCAGCAGGGCAGGCGAGGAGACGTCACCCTGGGAGCTTACTGAAGACGCTGGCTGTTCTCTCAGGCTGTGTTTGATGTGCTGTGGGGAGAATGTTAAACAGGCAAGGGAGTTTATATATAGAAATATATCTGGACTATAAGAAGTACACATGAATCGGGCAGTGACTTATCCATTTATCCTGTGCACGTTATGCAACAAACCCCAGTAGCCAAGTATACAGTTAGGACTGTCTCCCCCCTTGGGTTTGATCCCTTCTTACCCTGATTTTGTCTTATTTAACATAATGTTCAACTGCTGCCACTTTCACCTGGAATGGCATGCTTCTAAAGGAATTGTTTTCTTCCCAGGCTGCTGGCTTGTGTCACCTTTGAAAGTGAAGGATCTTGCTAACTTCAGCTGTGCAGTGTCAGGCCCAGGGGTGCTATGTAAACAGTTTTTCCCTTTATTAGGCATTAAGTAAAACAAGGCTGGCCACAGTGCATTTTTTAAAAATTAATAAACATATAGCAAGGGCCAGCAGTCCCCCAAGGATCCATGACGAACAGAAGCTAGACTCATTCCTTTCACTTTGACACATCACTGCTCACTGACCTCATTCAGAGCCTGCGTGGAACAGATGAGCGTCTGGCCCTGCCCTGACCCATCTGAAGTGGTCTTGTGAGTCCTCTTGCAAAGGCTCCCACGTGACACATCAAATTGGGTCAGGAAAGACTGTTCTCGTCCCATCCTTTAAGTCTTAAAAATCCATAAACCAAACACCTTGTGCCCGAGCTGTGCCTTAGAGTGTATCTTTTGGGCGCCATGGTAGAGCCACCTCTTACTGGCTTTGAGCATTATCTGGAGGTCATCTCGTCCGTCTCGATGGCTCCAGCCACGGCAGCGCTGGCACAAACCTGGTTCATATTTTTAAACATCACCGGGGAAAGAGATTCCATGGGGATAGTTGAGAGTCTCACGTTTATCCCTCAGTCCGTCTGCTGCTGTTGTGGCTGGACAGAGAGAGGGGTTTGACAGTGAGCTCAAGCAGCCTGAAATGGCAAGCGGGTCTGTGAGACGTTGCAGCTGACAGCCCCCCTTATTAGCACATCCGATAGTATCTGAGGACAGTGGACTCACTGTCCTGCAGCTGTCAAGTTGATGACTCTAATGAGCACCCAGTTAAGCCACATCGTGACACCTCAATTTCCCAGTGAGCCCTCTGGGAAATGAGCAATGGTGTTCGAATCTGCCCCAGTCAGGCGAAGCGGCACTGGTGGGACAGGTGGCTTAGGGCAAGCAGTACAATTTGTGTCTTTAAGAGACCAGCATCTGTTAGCAGTCCATTAGGGGGACTGGAGAAAAGTTAAAGCTATCCAGGACAACATCCGTCTTTAAAGGAGACTTATAACCTGTAAACACAAGAGAAGCGTTAAAGCCTTTTGCTGGGTCCCACATCCCACCTGACTCCAGATGTTCCTTCCAAAGAGGCAAATGTTCTCTTTAAAGAAGGCAGGGTGGGTAGACATGTCACTTTATGTAACTAATCGTGGCATGTAGTTTTTAAAAGCAAATGATGACATTAAGATGTACATTTTGTTTCCCAGTGGATCTCAGGTTATTTAGCTAGTATTTCATGAAATGTTCACTTTTAGTGATGCCCTGGAACACATGTTTAGGGGAAGCAGAGCACAGTAGTTAAGAGCAGGTGTTTGGGAATCAGACCTAAGTTAGAATCCTGGAGCTACCGTTGACCATCTGGGTGACCTTGGACATGTTATTCAAACTCGCCACGCTTCTGTTTCTCATTTGTAAAAAGAAGAGAACAGGAACCTACTTCACAGTGTGGACCGGATGAAGGAATGCCTGTGGACAGCTCAGCATAGTGCCAGGCACCCGAGTAAGCCTTGGTAGCAGTGACAGCTGACAGCGACCGTCTACCGCGTGCCTGGCGCTGCCAGAGCTCTACGTGGCTTATCGTCTCGCCTCACGACGATGCTAGGAGATGGGTGAAATTATCATTCCCCTATTGCAGATGAGGAAAGTGAGACTTAGTGAAATTAAGTCGCTTGCTCAAAGTCACAGACAGGAAGCGGTGGGACTAAAGTTAAAGCCGGGCAGTGGGCCTTCAAGGCCCGCGCACGTAGGCAGCCGACGCTACACTGCCTGGAAACGTGAAAACCATGATCATTCCTTGTCTGCTAGCAGCTTCTCGTCCTGGATCTTGGCCCATGGAAGACCTTGCACCGATTGAGCCACCCTCTCTTGGTTCCCTGTAGGACCCTGGGGCTGTGACTCTCACAGAGATACTGTCACAACCTCAGCAGCTCCAGACTTAGCCACCTGAGCCCTCCAAGCAGGACACGTGCAACCTAGCTCTCCAGGTGACAGTTTGGAGTTCAGAGAGACATCCTTTGGATTTGGAGAGGAGCCAGAGGGAAGGGCTTAAATTCTCCCCTGCCTCAAGGGTTTCGTCCTTACCCTGAGCAGCAGAGATAGATGAGCTCTGATGCTTTCTGGGTCTTCCCATCACTGGCTGTCTTTTCCCTCCAAGTGGGAGGCTGGCTCAGAGAGTTGGGCGTGTCTATCAGGAAGCCCAAGTGAACCTCACGCCAGGATCCCAAGATGAGCTACGCAACCTCCATCGCACCCACTGGCTCCAAGGCCCTGAGGCCAGGCCCCTGTGAGCAGGGCCCGTCCTCGCCTGTTTGTCTTGGCTCCCATTCCCTCAGCAGCATTGCGCAGAGGTGAGAAGGTTTTAGTAGATGTTGCATTAGATAGTTGGCTTCCATCACAAGTAGAAACAGGTAGTCAGTTTGGTCCAAACAGGAAAAGTGAAGCTCAGAAACCTAATTTGGAAGATACACAGGAACGGTCTTCATGAGATGCTGGGGATCGAGAAGCATGCATCTTGTCTGTCCTTGAGGAACTCGCTGTCTATTCTCCCATGCTTTATTTCATTGATTGCCAGCAGAGCTCTGCACTAGCACTACGTGCATGGTGCCTGACACAAGGTACAGAGATCAACGAGCTACAGCTCATGCCCAGGGGACCTCTGAAGAAGGGGTAAGTGAATGGAAGGCAGGTGAGGACTTGTCCACATATCTCAGGCCTCGACCTCTTGGGAGCAGGCAATAGAACATCTCGCCTTGTGTGGCCGGTCTATCCTATGGTAGGAATGAGGACATCAGCCCCCCGAGCTCAGAGACACCTACTTTTTTTTTTTTCAGGCAGAGTCTCACTCTGTTGCCCCAGCTAGAGTGCCGTGGCGTCAGCCTAGCTCACACCAACCTCAAACTCCTAGGCTCAAATGATCCTTCTGCCTCAGCCTCCCGAGTAGCTGGGACTATAGGCATACACCACCATGACCGGATAATTTTTCCTATATATTTTAGTTGGCCAA